GCGCCTTCCTCCCTTGCCGACAGCTGATCAGACAGTGGTGTGGAATGTGCTATTTAATTTCTCTGCAATGAATCCACCAGCTCTGCCCTGTCATTGCAATTAGTCATACCCTCTCGGTGCATTATAATCCTCACATATCACATCTCACCAAGTCGTTCCTATAGTGTTAGGAACAAAGCTCACTCACAAAAAAAATCACGAAAAGAGAAGCATCCAGAGGAAGTTGCTGCCGGGTGCTGTGGTTGGTGAGAATCTCCACAAGCAGCAATTTGATCTAACACTAACCTAGGGTTAGAGATTAAGAATGTGCTGGTGCCTTTTGTGAATGCAGGACTGTGCCTCGTGAGGCAAGGTGGAAACCTTCCTCTGCCTGCTCTGATGGGCACAAGGTCTGAGCAGTCAACAGGTAGAAAGAGTGCCCAGCTGCGAGAGAGGCTCCTGCACCTCGTCCCAGTCAGAGCAGGCACAAATTAATTTCACATCGCTGTATATCCAGCTATGCCTTACCATGCAGACTCGATCCACATTGCATAACCCTAAATTGAAGGCAAGAGCAGTCAAAGTCAAGGCTGACCTCAGCACACAGAACCTAGCAGTTTCCTTCTCCAAAGGCTGCAGCAATAGGTATGCTCAGGGGCACTTGCTGCCCCTTGTATTTCCAGGACTGTTTAATTCTTCAGATTTTAGCAACACACTGAACGCTACTAGATTATTTAATCTGTGTCTGCACTAAACTTTAATACCTACTCATCTGACCACTGAAAGTGGGAAAATTGGCATCTGTTAGCTGTGGGAATGTAGATTATGGTTCATCACAGAGTTTTAGCCCAGAAAATGACAAGGGTAATACTTATCACAAACCACCACACGCAGTAATGACAGGCAGCTGTTGCGGTAATAAGAGAGCAATCAATAATTCATTTGATATTCCTTGTGCAATTAATCATGATAAATTAACGTGGCTTTAATGTGGCACTAACAAGCATTTCCTGGGCTCTCCGATGTAATTTAACAATTAATGTGCCATCATTTTAAATTGCAGCTGTCCTTGCTCTGCAGACACACGGAAATCATCAGAGCCACAATATCCAACAGAGACGGGATAATAGTTGGAAAGCTTTCAAAGAGTTGGGTTCTGGGAGGTTCATCTGCCCAGCTATGAGCATTTTGGTTTTGTCCCCCACCCTCCCCCGAAACTATTTAGGATTATTTCTGCCTTCAGGGCGGAACAACATTGCTTGCACCCAAGGAAGTCCGATCATGTATTTGCTGATACTATTTTTTCATTAACTACAAGAAGTGTCTGTGTGCAGGTTATTTAAACCACTCAAATACATTGAGGGAACAGTATTAGTTACATCCAAGGGATTATTAAATACAGACAAGAGCTAGATAGAACAATTTTGAATTTGTTCTTAACTCACCCACTGAAAGGCTCCATTTTTTTTTTCATTTACACCAAGCTCCACAGAGAAAAGCTTTTTAGCCCTCTGTGTTTAGAACTGCTAAACTGGCCAGATTAAAAGATCCAGAGACATCTCTTGCAGAAGTGAAACACCTGCAGAAGGTATTGGGGCTAAAAAACAAATTCAGGATGGCCGAATGGGTCATTACTAGGATGCTGTTATCATGAGAATGGGGGATGCTATTCTCAGGAAAACGAAATTAAACAGTGTCTGCCTCCCCACTCAGACCCTAAAACATGGGGCTTCTGCAGAGCATCCCAGAAGTATCCTCTGGCTATTTCAGGGCCACACTAAAAGTCTCCAAAATCCCTGACTGAACGCTGCAGAAAAGCAGCATGCAAGGGCTGACTTGTGCCCTTATTGTTGCTACTCAGAGCAGCCGGGAGAGAGGGGCAAGATAGGGCTGATGATGCTGGCAGTAACTCCCCACAGGCTGGGCTTCACTTTACAGCAAATCTTGCAACATTTAGGGCTATTCACACCAACAATCAACACGGTGGGGAACCTGGCCACAAGACTTTAGTTTCTTATTTTCTATTAAAAAATAAATAATAAAAAAAAATAGGCAGCCTAGTTTTAGCATAAAGCACTTTGCCTTTGGGCATCAAACTCATTAAGAATTTGTTCACACCTCTTTCTTATGCTTAGAGTCAAATGAAAGATGTATTTGATTTAGCTGCTTCGCAAACAACTCATAAACTTCTGCCATTCTTTCCCCTCCTTTTCAAGTGCTATCTTTTTGTCCTTGGATGCTCTAAATTATTAACATATTTTACAGTGTGCTCAAGATAAAAGAGATCTTTCAACTTTCATTCTCTCACCCCTTGGTTGAGCCAGTCACGTTGTTTCTCAATGGATACCTTTGATCAACCTGCTTGTTGGATGTTAAACCGCAGGACACCCCTGGTGAGAAAAGAAACCGGAGGAAGCCTTTCAGCAATCCCTTGCCGTCAGAATTTTCTGCTGATCTAGGGCAGCACTTTGAAGTCACCCCAGCTTACGGCTAGGCTCTGAGAGAGGTCACCCTTAATGTAAAGAAAAGCATAATTATAAAAGGAGCACGTGATTGTTATAAACATCTTACAAAACTAGAGTACATGTAGCCATGTGTGTCACTTTGCCTATCAGTGGAAGTTGCTAGCAGGGGTAATAAATCGTTTATTGACTTGACCCCCAGGCTGGTGTCACTATGAACAAGGCCCTCTGTACTTCACTAACCCTTTCTGACCTATTTTTCAGCCTGTCCTTAACATGAAATGTCATTGTGATACAGCTGCACAGAGCAAGTAATATCTTCTGTATGTAAGCCTGCAGCTATTCACAGGATTATTTAGGGAATGCTATTCAGAGCGAGGATAGCACAGCGCTGGAAAGCACAGCAGCCAGGAGACAAAGCACCTTCAGCTCTGTGTGTGTCTCTTCCCAGCACTGTGATCTCTATCACAGCCTGACGACAGCACACCATCTTTGCTATATTTCTGTGTTAATTTGCAGACGTGCATTTGGTGCTGTGCAACAACAGGGCCAGAAACCCCTGCAGAAATAAGACGGATCCCTGGTGTGCCCTTCGTTGTGGTGGCCAGGAGAATCACAGAATCACAGAATTTCTAGGTTGGAAGAGACCTCAAGATCATCAAGTCCAACCTCTAACCTAACACTAACAGTCCCCACTAAACCATATCCCTAAGCTCTACATCTAAACGTCTTTTAAAGACCTCCAGGGATGGTGACTCCACCACTTCCCTGGGCAGCCTGTTCCAGTGCCTAACAACCCTTTTGGTAAAGAAGTTCTTCCTAACATCCAACCTAAAACTCCCCTGGCGCAACTTTTGCCCATTCCCCCTCGTCCTGTCACCAGGCACGTGGGAGAACAGGCCAACCTCCACCTCACTACAGCCTCCTTTATGGTACCTGTAGAGAGCAATAAGGTCGCCCCTGAGCCTCCTCTCCAGGCTGCACAAGCCCAGCTCCCTCAGCCGCTCCTCGTAGGACTTGTTCTCCAGGCCCCTCACCAGCTTCGTCGCCCTTCTCTGAACTCTCTCGAGCACCTCCATGTCCTTCTTGTAGCGAGGGGCCCAAAACTGAACACAGTACTCGAGGTGCGGCCTCACCAGAGCCGAGTACAGGGGGACGATCACCTCCCTAGCCCTGCTGGTCACACTGCTTCTGATACAAGCCAGGATGCCGTTGGCCTTCTTGGCCACCTGAGCACACTGCTGGCTCATATTCAGCCGACTGTCCACCATCACTCCCAGGTCCTTCTCTGCCTGGCAGCTCTCCAACCACTCATCTCCCAGCCTGTAGCTCTGCTTGGGGTTATTGCGCCCCATGTGCAGGACCCGGCACTTGGCCTTGTTGAACTTCATGCAGTTAAACAAGAAGTGTGTGTGTCCCTCAGAGGTGCTTCACAGTGCTCATCAGCACCGTGCCCAGCTCACAGTCCTTCAGGCACGGTGCTTTCTGAGGGCTGTGTGACACGGGGACATTTATGGCATTTAGGGGATGGCACCAAGGCACCCTAACTTCTACCAGCACCCTGCAGGGGAGCACGGAAGCTAGGAGCTCCCGGAGAAAGCAGAGTGCGCACAGCAAAACGACACTGATGCACATGGAGCCGACTCCTTTGGCACTGTGTTTTGAAGGGATTTAACCCTCTGTGTTAAGCCGCTTTGTCTCCCCACGAAAGGCCGGGGAGCGCCGAGGCCCTGAGGCCGGCCTAGGCCCGGCGCGGCGCTGCGGTGCCACCCAGCGGAGCGGGGCCGCAGCGGCGGGGCCGGGGCCGCCCGGGATCCACCGGTACCCCGAAACAGATCCCCGGGGATCTGTGGATCAATTAGTTTTACTTCGTGCGTGTGATAAACGGCGAGCGTGTGATAAACGGGAGCCTCTGCTCCCTCAGGGGAACCGCCGCCTCAGCTCGCAGCAGACGCGCGCAGGTTGCAGAGGCAAAGGTCACAGATAAGAGCCCATAAAGAAGTGTGAAATTTAAAGGGCTGCAGTTCAGCGTCCCATTACCCTGCAGGCAGGAAAGTCTGGAGCTGGATTTCCATCAGAAAAGCTGTGAGGCATTTGTAGCTGCAGATAATTCTCCACACATGGTCAATGGGATTAAGTGATATCACCCGCATCCATAGGCTGCAGTACAAGCTACAGCTTCAGTCAGATACAGCTTGAATTCCCAGCTGTGAACAGTTTCTAGAAAGGCACCAAATATACAGCACTGTCCCCTTCCATGCCTTCAGACGCCTGTATGACAGAGCTAATGCCTATCCAGACCCATTGCATGTTCAGTGCCTGCTATCGTGAATCCCATTTTTAGGTCAAGAATGATTATTTTTCCAGATGTACAGGTATAGGTCTCTACGGGATGCAGCTTTGTCCCTTGTATTACCAAACCTTGTTACCTTGTTTAGTTATTTTCCTTGCTCAGACTAAGCAGATATCACAAATCAGAGCCTGTGATGCATACAAGGTATCATAATGCCTCATATTGCAAGGCCAGTGGGAGAATTTTCTTAGAAAAGTGAGTTTATTGATAAGCTCCAAGGGTCCTGCTTAGCTAGAGAAATGCCACAATCTTTTCAGAGCATGAAAAGCATGCTGTGAACATTCGAGCACAACAAAGAAACAAACTCTGTACCTTTACTGCCCTCTCAGACAGGAGAGGTCAAATGAGAAAGAAGTCTTAGGAAGGTGAAATGACTTGATCATGGTCACATCATAGCAGCACAGCTGTGGAGAGATGACAGGTTATCTATTCTTCAGTCCTGTGCTCTCTTCTTAAATACTGCAGTGCCTACAGGCATGGCTGTATATAGGTATAATACAGTTTTCAATGTTTTTATTCTTTCAACACCATCCTTGTGGTCATAAAAATCCCAAGCTTCCTGTTACTGAGAAGAAATGTCATGTGCGTTACACACACACAGCCCTGGCCGTGGAATGGGGTGGTTTTGTGATAGCTGCCCTGCTTGCCTGCTGTGTCAGCTTGGGAACAGGTTTCAGAGGTCTGACATTCATATCTTTTTATCTCTAGGTATTCTGCGAAATATTTTTGAAGTTTAATTACACAACCAAAATTTCTAATGGATTCCTACACCATAGTACTCTGGTCTGTCATCATTATGCTCCAGTCCTAAGGTTTATTTTTTCCCTGGGACAAAGTGTACAAGTATTAAAACACACACCTCTCAATAGGCAGTGTACAGACATGTGAAGAAGCCAGTGCCTTGAAGACTGTAAAAACATTTCTTTTGTAATCTCAGAGATCTTCTGTGAATGTGATCCTGTGAACTTTGTAACCGCATGGCTTTGTAAACGCAAGGCTCTGGCTTACTTAATGAGTGTACCAGGCTGCCTCTTGAAACCTGAGCCTGGATCCAAGCTGTAGGAATCTCTACTGTCCTGTCTACCTACATGTCATTTGCCCTTTCTATAGGTCTAAACACAGCTGCGTTGATTACTTAGTGATGGCTACAGCTGATAAGCCCAGAAGAGATAAGAGATGAGTACAGTTCTTTCAGAAAAACAATAGGCCACAGTCACACATGTCATATACAGTACAAAGACCAACAGAACACAAGATATAATTTAACGCTGGAGTGCAAAAATAACATTATTGGTTTTTCAGTTCTGAATACAAACATAGTCTGATTCTGAAACAAGCAACGGCAGATATTTTGTTCTGTGCATTCAGTACTAGATGTTTCTTCACAGGATTGCCTACATCTTGTCACTGCTGTAGTACCAGCAGAGGTTACAATACCTAAAGACACCAAGTTATTTAGGTGATAAGATTCAAAAAATTACAGCAACAAACCACCAAGGACTAGGGGAGGGCATAAATCCTGATAAAATGCCAGGCCTGCATGCGCAGAACAGATCCTTGTTCCATTCCTGCTCAATCTCTAACCAAAGCACCATGCTGGAAAACAAATAAACAAGCAGTGAACTGAAGATTTGTCTGGTAGGAATTGTAAAAAAAAATAATCCTGAGATATTTAAATAATAAAGGACTTATCTGTACATGCAGCCTCTCTGATTTAATCACTTAATCTTTTGTTAGACAGAGAGTTAGTCCAAGCTACTAGATTATCCTGTTCCTTCTCCCATCGTTCTTCTTGCTTGTCATGACCATCTTCATCAGCTGTTTGTCTTTCTGACAGGAGGTGAGGCACATCTATGGTTTGAAACAAGAAAGATTAATAATGACTGAAGGAAATGAAGGGCAGCAGGATGAGTAGAAAGGATGCTTCTAAAGCAAGCCAAAACATATTTTTTATTTTAAATGCAGACCCGGATTTGTCATAATACATGAAATGCATCTGCTGGAAATACACAGGGAACAAGCAGATTCACATGCACTATAAATAGAGAAGTATTTGTATAACAAGTTGCAGAATAATGTAATAAACTACATTTTTTCATTTGTCTGACAGTTTTGAAATCTGACCACTAATCCATTTAAACTCAAACTTCATTTGTTCTTCCGAACTATTTTGGACAACTGCTTTTCAACCTGTCAAAAATAAAGTTTCTTTCTATCTGAGGCTCTGACTATGACAATGTTCTGCTCTGAATGAGTGAAATATCCTTTCTACTGCTCCCAGCATTATCAATATTAACGATTCTGTCAGCAGGATTCCTATTTGCTCTTTTATGGCTCTAGGACTCTGCTGTGTTAACAGTATTATAATTTGTTTTTGTCAGTTAAGTAAGCCCATATGCCTCTAATACAAACAAGGAACAGATTTATTGAGAAAATGGTGCTATTTTTAAACATTTTTCTGACTAATTTGCAGCCAGTTAGTGATGTCATCTTCTTTGAATGCTAAAAAATCACAATGCTCCAAACCACTAAACTCTTGCTTTGTATACTATTCTGAAAAATAAAAAAGGAGCTCAGCAAACGTATTTTTCACACGCAAAACATGTGGTAAAATGCTTCAGGTTGCGAAGAATGGCCTACATTCCCGTAAAGTACATGTAAGGATTTTCCTTCTGAGGTACTGACAAAAACATCGGTTTCAATGTGTCACCTATTTTCTTTCCAAGCCTAGGCCTGGTAATGAAAACAGTTAGGCTTATAAGGGAAAAAGCAATTATAGGACAGTGTAATCAAGCTGCAGAGTTCACTGCTCAGTCATGTGTTCTCAATAAACAGCTTCCCCTGCCTGCTGTACTGTCAGCCCCAAGTCCTGCCCCTCTCTTACTGAGCATGGAGGGTTCAAGCTGCACTGACTGTGGTGCAGGATTTTAGCTAAAGACAGGAGGGTGCTGGTTGGGGTCAGCAGTGCTGAACTCCAGAGTCACAAGTCCAGCAGCTGTGCCCCAGCTCTGCTGTGGGGTGTGAGGAGCAGAGATGGGGCCAGGCTCCTCTGCTTAGCACCACAGACATCCCATGTGCCTGCCGACTGCTTGGCTTGGGCAGAAAAGCTTCTTTTTTGCCTCTTACTGTGTACAAGCTCAAGTTCTCTTCTAGGTCTAACTATTGATAAGAAAATCTGCTCCCAATATTTTCTCTCTCTCTCACTTTTTTTTTTTTTTTTCCAATTTAGAGATTGAGGCATCCGAAAGAAACAAATTTAGTGCAGTACTATTCAGGCCCCTGATGATCTGGTATCTTAGCCATCTGAGTAAGCATAATTGTTGAAAAATATATGGGGTCAACACAAATTATATCAAAAATCCTATGCAGACTGTCAGCAGACAATGATACATTTTGGAGAGCCATTAACATTGCTCCCATAAAGTAATAAATATTTAAAACCAATGTGCAACAGCTGTACTTCAACAGCACCTCTTCCTAACTACTTTACATCTGTTCTTTTTTCTCTCTTGGAAAATGAAAAAACCATCATAAATAAAACCTTATGCTAATAAAAGCATCTAACCCACCTCCTGACTTTAGATATGTAGAACACAATTCTTCTTTCATTTGTATTACTTCTATTTTGGTAAATCTTCTACAGATTTCAGTTAAGTCGATCCTGATTTCCTTTGGATAGTAGGGAAAAACTCAACCTACAAACTGTGGTAAAAATATGATCTATTGTTTGGCTTAGTTCTAGTCAACCCTTACTGAAGAAAAGTTCATCTAGTGTTCACTTTTACACTCCTCAATAGGTAAAATAAATAAATAAAATAAAATTACCTGTGACCATTACTAATATGCTGGGGATCTTCATGTGTATTTATAGTGACATTAATTTTCTTCCATAAAGTTTTGTTCTGTCCATAATTTCCAACATGATTTTTTTCCCTTGATGGAAGCACAGTTAAATCCACAAATGACAACATTAAAATACTTCATTCAAGACTCCCGGTATCATTAAATTACAATGAAGTTGTGGCAGATTCACACTGGGGAAAGAAAGAGTGGAAAATGTCATACATATCTGTAGGAAAGATTAATTTATGCGGTACAGACTCTACCTGATGATGGGTGGTTTGCTGGCTCTATTTTGCTCATTCCAAGCACTCCTCTAGCTGTTTGTTTCCTTCACTTTCTGATGAGTTGAGAGATGATAGCATTACATCTGTGAGCAAAAATACATCTTGATGGGTAAAATCAATTTAGTATACACTTGCTTAAGACAATTTTATATAAAAGACGCTTCAAAGCGGTGCTTACAAAATGCACTTGGAGGCAGAGCTGAGTGGGAGTTGTCTGAAGGAATGTGTCAGATTTTCGGATCACTCTTTGTTCATGAACCGAACTTGAGGGGACATGCACGTGCACTTGTTTTGACCAGGATGTCACTCCTGTTGACATCTCTGTATCTTGATGAGGCTAAACTCAGAAAAACTTCCTTCCTCTTCTGTGCTTGGCTTTATCCCCTCTCTTTGGTCTTGGAGATCAAAGTTCATGCTCGAGTCAAAGCAGAGAATTAGGCTATCACATCCCATATCCTGGGCTAGCAAAGCAGCACAAACACAGGTCTCTTACTCTGATCTCCTCCTAAGAACATTTTTTAAATGAGAAACCTCTGGAAGATGCAAAAGCCACCTGACCGAGCAGCTGTAGCAAATAAAGGGCTGAAAATGACACAGGCCTTAGAGGCTTTATCCCGTGAAGTGCTGAGAACTTTGACCCAGCCCCAGAGCAGCACTAATTGCACAGCAAACTCTGCAAGTACTGTGAAGGCACTGTGACATTAAGAGGTTAGAGACCTCTTAATTACCTAGTTGTCCATTTTGAAGATAATTATTTGGTAAGAACTTTGCTGGATCATGAATTGTTGGACGCCTTTCAGGACCGAGTCTCAAAAAAATATGAAATAGACTGAAATGACTTACATTCTGTGAAAGAAGAGAAATGTAAAAGGGTACCAAGAAAAAAACACTAAGAAATGTAACCTATTATAAAAAAAAAAAAAAAAAAAGAAAGGTGATACAAACATTTGTACATGCAGCTTTGTTTCTGTCACTTGAAACGGTTCTTGGACTTGCCACGTCCATCCCAGTTTTAGCAAACAAAACAATCTCTTTTTCTATTTTAAATCTGACAAACAAAAACCACAAGTCTGAGAGGCAGTGGTGTACTAGGGATGAAACAGAACAAAAGAGGGATTGAATACAATTCTTAAAAATTGCTCATGCCTCCACTTTCACTCCTTTGAGAAAAATATTACTCTTTAGTTTGACTTCTCAACCATTCTCCCATGCTGGGTCAAAATATAACTGGGACTGGTAGAGAGAACTGTTGTAAAGAAAAAAATCAGAGAATAATATCCTTTAAAACACAGGCCAGACCAGTATCTTGTCTAATACCTGTCACTCTGCCTTGGCTATTAGAGGTTATTTATTATGTTCACACTTCCTGGAACATTCATGAATTATTTGTAGTGAGGGGAGAGGGTTCCTAAACACACTGCTGTTAATCAGATGTTTTATTTCTCTCTCATGAAACAAACCCGAGCAGTCATCCAAACAGAGCATCTGGTTGCATCTCGTGGCGTTCTCTTTCCAGCCACGAGATGGCAAACTAGCTTTTAGCATGTAGTTAAACCCCAGCACCTCTGGGATTAGGTATTTTGGCAAAACGCATGCACAAAGGCTGCCTGTATGCTCTTTACTATCTATTTTAGCAGCAGTGGTTTTTAGAGAGCTCATGGCAGTCGATCCGAGAGCTGTGAATGCCTGCTAGAGCAGACAGGGAGAAAAGGAAAGAGCTCTACGTACGTCCCTGCTGTGGACACTTTTGTTTTGCAGGCTTTGTAGGTACTCACGAGAAAGGGCACTCAAATGCTGATGCTGAAGGCCAAGCTGCTGCAGAAATATTTCAGCTGGCTTTTACCTATCTTGTAGCACTGCCTCAGACCCCTGCAGATTAGCATGTCTGGCCACATGAGTATTCACCTAGCTTCTCAGAGGGCTTTTTTGCCATGTACCGAAGCTCTCGATATGATAGCCATACCTATAAAGGTATTTTATCTTACTCTAAGCTGGCACAGATGATAGTCAGTGCAGCAGAAGCAGTCCCCTCTGCTTGTTCTACTCTCTGAAAACACATTTTCAGTTTTATTCTTTTTATCCCTGCACAATAAGCACCACTTCTTCCTCTTACCATCAGAAAACAGCCCCAAAAGTCCTCTGCAATTGCTGAAGTGCTACATCGTGATCCACTCTGCTTCTTGCACCACGAGTCTCAGAGCTCACCAAAATGTGATCACATTTTTATACCTTGCAACTCCACATTTCCCAGTGTTTCACCATCATTTTTTTTAAACACTATTCAGTTCTTCCTAAGGATGATGTGCAACAAGCTGCTCATTACAGCAGGACAAATCAGTAGTCCCTGAAGGCTTACACTGATTTAATGAAGTCGGAATTGACTCAGTGCCACTGTAATTAGTGAACATGTAAAAACTCAACAGGGGCAAACTGCTCACAGTAATGTGAACAGCATATTACACAAAAACAAGCTATATTTCAAATCTCTTTTATAGAAGTAATTGAATTTAGAGATCCAGTTTTATGAAGAAAACATATTTAAGTCGAACATTTGCCTTATTATATAACTGAAATTAAGATTTCTTCTGCTGCACTTATGTCAGCAAATTTTTGGCCTCTTTCCTCTCTAATCCCATGCCAGGAGTTAAGAACAGACTGCAAGCTTTTAAAAAAGCAAGCATGTTTTGTGAGCTGTTTGCAATTGAGGGGAAAAAAAAAAAAAAAAGAAAAAAAAAAAAAAAAAAAAGAAACAAACACAAAGTGAGAGGCAATCCTGTGTTTGAACCTGCAGCTGAACGCTTGGACCTGCCTTTGATCAATCAGACCCAGCAGTTCAAAGGCAGGCAGAAATCTGTTAAAAACATATTATCTGTTGCCACCAGGTGGCACCGAGCTGTGCCTCTTCCACATGACCAAGCGTCCTGTCCCCATCTCCCCGAAGCTGAAAGGTTCACCCTCGCAATTTCCTCTCCATCCTCGGATTTAATGGGGGGAAAAATTACTCCAGTTGAAGACACCCTCCTAAAACAAGTCCAGGTTGTCGGAGCTGTACGCGCAAAAAGGGACGTTTGGAGCATTTTGCAGAGTCCCGTAGGATGGTGTGCCACTACATAATGAAACAATTATCAAACATATAAAACAAAGGAGTTCTGTTAAAGGAAATAAAACCAAGGAAACTATGTCAAAGGAAAATTAACCCTACACTCTAGGTGCTTCTTGTGAAAGAAAAAATCCTCTCCACTTAAATCCATGACTTGCTGTCCTCCAAATTAAGTGAAGCAGCCCTTATCTTTCTAATTGATGCTGAAAACAAATGGAATTCAGAGAGAAATGGGATTTTGTTTTTTTTGAACCATTATAGAGTTACCACATAAGAAATAATAAGAAAGAAAACTCTAGTTACCAGCATGAGGCAAAGCAGCATCCTGGCTTTGAGATTTCCCTATATTTTTTCCACAAACTGTCTCATAGAAGAATTCAAGAACAGAATTTAAAAAACTTGATCACATGTTCAGCGAAACTGAAGTGTGTAATTTAACAGTTACAACAAGGAATTATTTCCACAGTCAGAGCTGTGTTTGATACGGAGAGCCCCAGTGAAGCTGCCGGATGGACAAATGTCCTCCAGGCTACCACAGGTCCCCCCAGCAAATGCACCTCACAGAGGAACACTGGACTTAAGGGGGGGCATTTAAGAAAAGATGAGGGCTGCTACAACTTCAGGATTCACAGGGACAAACATCCAGAATCTGTAAATACTGTGACACTCAAACATTGTCACTGCACTTACAGACCCCCAGGTGTAAATGTTCAGCAACTCATATACTCTTCTCAGTATACTCATCCCAGTCTTCTGTTCTTTTCACATTTTTTGCCTTCCAGCCATGGGAGTTCCCCACAAATTTTGTGTCTTCAGACACTAAAATGGCATAGATACAGAAAATTACATTTAGATAGAATTACAGACCAGCCATTAAATTCTCCAAAACCATTCACTGCAGAAGTTCTGCTGATATTTACAGTGCTGATAATAAAGTACCATTTTTATTATACTTTGCTACACATATTTAATTTTATTATAAGTCACTATGAATTTTCCTATGAATTTCAACAAGGACTTAACCGATTTACTGCTGAGCACTGTAATTAAATATATTTCCCATGCTGTACATCTGATCTCGCATCCATGGGTGGCAAATTCAAAGGAACTCTGTTGAAATCACCCTGGTACCTTCTAGAAATCACCCTAACACTTCCTAGTGTAATTTAGGATTAAATTTGTTCACTTACACTTAAGGAGGTAGCAACCCAGCACACACACAGTCAAACCAGTCAGTCGCCTCTGCCAGCGAGTGGATTATTTGGGCTATTAAAATTATTCCACAGGTGATGCAGCTCTGCTACATCTAAAGCCACCAAAGGTGAGAGGAAGGGCAGGCAGCTGCCTTTGTTCAAAGCTGTGTCCCCACCTCAAGCTCTGCAGGAGGCCAGGGAGCTCAGACACTCTCCAGAGGCCTCACACGAACAGACCTCTTCAAAGACAATGTGGACGCCACGTAAATGTGTGTGAGGGAAGGAAGGGGATGAATGATCCAGTCCCTTTAACCCCCACTATAATTCCTCTTGGATATTCTGCTTCTGAACCCCAGCTGCTTCTGCTGGTGGGATTGCCCCGACCCAAGCACACTGGAGACTTCAGCACCAGAGGCAGCTTTATTAGCAGCTACCTGGGTCTAACAGGTGGGTGCTGCTTGAGGTTTTGCCTTTAGTTGTGTGGCTTCCTCACCCTCCACCACCCCAGTCTCCCAGGTTAACAGAGAACTGGTCAGATTTGGCCTCCCAGGGCAGTACAGAGTTAGCACTGAGTTGCTTGGCAGAAGGAAAACCCCAAATGGGGATTGCCTGCTATTTGTTTGCCATACAGTACTACAAATAATGACGAAACCCTCATGCCGCAGACCCAGATTAATAATGAGCTGATAAAAAACCTTCGTAAATCATCACTAATTACCTGGTTTGGTTAGTAACTTAGGTACAGCAAAATCCTACAGAAGAATGTTGGTCTTTGCAAAGACCACAGCTGACATACATACACACATTTCTCTTCAGCTCTTGATGCTTTAATATCTGTGATGAATGTCTCCTCAGCATCATGGTGTCCAGATCAAACTCAGACTCCCAAGGCTGTCCTGGCCTTGCACACAGCCAGCACATTGCCTGACTCCAAATCAGGTAACAAAGGCCTGAGCCCTAGCAGGTGCAAATTGACATGGGGTCCTGACATACGTAGGTGCACCCCAACACATAATCTTGACTGGAAATTTTGGATATGGGTTTGCAAAAACAACCCAGGTACAGTCAGAATTGGTACACAAAGGCAAATCTGACATGAGGACGGCATCAAGTCCATTATGTTCAGTTTCTTAAAACAAGCATATCAACTTACATGAATGTTCAAACGCTCTCTTGCTTTTGATGTAGCTATTCTAGACCACGTCCTGTGGTAATCTTCACATGCAATGCTTCTAATCCCTCTGAAAACTTAAATACAGAACAAGGGAGGAGTTACCGGGAATTACAGAATTGTAACACAGAGTCTCAGGTATAACTTTCACAAAGGAACTTGCTCAAATAAGCTCATTTAAAACTCTTACAGTACTTATGGGTGACAATTGACAGAAAGAAGTAGGTGAACAAAGCTCCAACGAGCGCAAGAAACTTTCACAAGAAACTGGTATGTCTGCTCACTGCTGCTGCTAAAAGCAAGGATTATTTTACCATTCTGTCCTCTCCTTCTATGCCAATGAAAATAAAATGCTGCTTAAAATTGTTTAAAAAGCAAATCTTATGAAGGGAAGAAATATTTTTGCCATTAGGTAGAGTATTGTAAAATCTACTTGGCATTTTTGCCTGGGTTTTCTCTCTTAGTTTCGAGGTTGCTACACAAACACTGAACATAAGTGAAGCAAAGTGCCTATTTAACTGTGATTCCTTCATGGCTCTTCACGTTGCTGGGAGGGCTATTCACACTGCAAGCCTTGTTCCTGCCTTGGTTAGACTATCCCTGCTTCATCTTCTTCTAAACCAAGTGAGAGAAGTTGCAACCTACGTAAGGTAAGGCCAAACAGGAACCTTTGGTTTCCTGGCAGCTTTAGAGAGTCTGAGCCAGCGCTGCCGTAACCCCACCTTCTGCTGTGCTTTTGTCTGCGCATTTCTGTCCCTCCCCAGGGCTCATCTGATCCTGCTGTGAACTGAGAGGGAAACCATCAAAAACTAAAGGAAAATAAAACACAAAAAAGGATCCTTTTTCTCCCAGTTCGGCTTCCTGAGCTGGGACCCTGCGGGGTCAGGCAGGCCCAAGGGCTGCGGGTCAGGGAGGGGGCAGGACCACAGCCATTATAGAGAGGGTGAGAGTCCCACGGAGTGTCACATCCTTTAAACAGAAAGTCTTGGGGTCCCCTAGAAGCTGACGTGATCTAACTGTCCAGGATGAGCCTCTTCCTTCGCCGGGCTGTGGGACAGGCCAGGGCAGCAAGCAGCCTGTGGTGGTGGGGCTGGTCGAAGGCCCCATCACCATAAAATTAACAGCTGCCAAGAACATCGAAAGCCAGCACTGACCACTTCACTGAACCCCATCTTAGGGCACTTCTTTTGAAACAATTCGGAATGCTGAAGGTTATTTAGCAAGGTATTTTCGTGGGAAGGAGGAAAATTAAAAATTGCATCCCCTTCGCTGGCCTCCACCAAAAACCTGGCAAACTTGCCCCAGACTCTTGTCTACTCCCAGCTAGCCAGCTTTGTCTGACTTGGCGCCCTCCTAAAGCTCTGCATTATCTCATTCTTATTGCTCCTGCTTCTATAAAAATAGTTGACTGGGGGGGCAGACTAAATTGTAAACAAAACATACTGGACCAATGTAATTTTATACATAACAAAACATTGAGTCACCCACTGTCTGAACTGTGAAATCCCCCGTGATCCCACTACTGTCTATTATTTTTCAGGAAGTACCAATGAAAGTGAGAGGAAGACACCAGTTATGAAAAAAACATGGAGCCTTGCGCTCAGTGATCAACATTATTTTTGTCTCTTTGATATCCTTCCAACCTCCCTTGCCATGGTACTCCTGTAAAATGTCAAAAACTGCTTGCCAGAGGCTTTTTGCTTTTAGCAATATTTAAAGCTGTGCCCATAAAAGGAAACAATTCCATTACAGATTTCAATTTCCTTCCATTCCACACTTGGAATTCGTGATGAAACCAGGGGAAGTTGTACCTGAGCATTGAAGGCACAGCTAGATAAAAAGTATTGTGAAGACAAACAAGCTATTTATTTGGGGTTTGTAAGCAGTCTGATCCTGCACCTTCTGACACAGAGCAAAAATTATACAATGACATTCTGTTTTCACCAAAGTGAATTAGAATTTAACTTTAGCAGGGCCAAGATTTTATCCTTAACGTCCCAGACACCTCCACATCGCTTGGGTCTGGAAATAGAATGAGTTAAGAATCCACTGCACTAGTATTACAGGGGCTGAGAACTTCGTGTCCTGCAGACAACTGTCAGCAGGCCAAGTGCTGCCAAATTCTGGAGGGAGGCAAAGGCAACTGAACTGAGAAACAGAATCTGGCTCCCTCTGCTAGTTTGGAAGTTAGCTTCAAAATATTTCAACAGTGATGCCATGTACAACCCTAGAAGTACAAAACGAAATACATCATGAAAATGACCTAGTTTTTTCTATATATATATTTATATATTGAATTCACTGGTTTCCTCATGCTATTTATTAATATAATAAATGACCTTAAAATATGTATTGCCTGAAATAAATGTCATTGATTAGGTCAAATAAAAATATCACTTGGCCCAACAATGACAAATTTCCTGGCTGTGCTCCTGTAGGCCAAGAACTTGTTTCATTTAGGAACAAGAGTTACTGGCAGAAGCTGGGAAGGAAACTGCTTGCCAAATGTCTCCATAGGAAATTAAATAATTGAAAATATTCACTAACAGGAAAAAGAAAATAATTGCTCACTTTAGGGTACAGACCCAAAACATCCTGGACTTATGTTGCTCTTTCTGAAATAGTGGCAGTGAAATCACAACGTTCATTGTAATTTGCTACCTGGCAATATCAGGAGAAGACCCTTGAGCTGGCTGGTGAAACTTAAGAGAAGAAATCCAGTCCTTCTCAACAGGAGGGAGTTCTGCAAAGGAACAGGGGTTCTTTTAAATCATTTTTCATCCAGATCCTACATGGTATAACGTGAATCTGTTCAGTGGAAAATGGTGCTGACTTTGTAACAGAGGAGAAATTTGCTCTCCTTCCCCCTCTCTAGTAGTCATCTTGGCAAAAACTACTCATATATTTGGAGAGAGGTAGAGGGTTGATTCCCATTTACATTCAATATATTTCCCCCCAGCAGAATATAACAAGAACATGGGAAAGGAACTTGGAGAGGCCACTGACCCGTGGTCATGGATGGCCTGAGAGCACAGCTTTCCTGCTTTCAGAATGATGGGAACTTCTTTAAGATCAGCCTCTTGACACTTTTCTGCCCTACAGGCCATCCATTCCGGCGGCTGAGCACTGTAAAACAGAAGCACTGGGTTTGGTCAGCCTAAAAGTGTGCTAAAAGTGTGTCACCAGCATCCTTTACAACCCCTGGAGTGGAGCTTGCCCCACTGTGTTGAGAAGCACCATGCCCCTGCTATGGGAACCAACAAGGATCGGGATTCCTGGCTAAAGGGCTCCTCTGAGGGCAGAGCAGGAAGGAATGGCAGAAGGAGGTGTTTCTGGAGGCGGAGAACTTTTAGGGACTTTCCTTTGGGAAAGAAGTTTTTTTCCTTCATTCCAGAAATATCTGAAGCAGGGAAGGAGAAAGAGACTTGAATTAAGGTTTCTGGCTGCTTTCACTGAATGGTTTGAATAGACAGTTTTGTTTTTTTGTTTGTTTCCTTGAAATAAAGCCAGTATCTGTCGAGTGGCTGCACTGTGCTTAGTTTGGAGGGTCGAGAAACCAGCTGGTGTGTCACAGCAAACATATCAGTGCTTCCCGTCCCCCTGTTCCCTCTCAGCTGTGCTCACCAGAGCCCACGGATTTTGCTGGTCTCATTCACCACCACGTCGTTTGTAAGCTCAGGTAGCTGAACTCAGGCCATATATAGTTTCTTTCAAAACACTACTTCTTCATTAAAATTGCATCACCATTCAAATTCACTTGTTTAACAGGTTCTAGAACTTTGTTAAGAGTTTTAAAAATTCTGAGCATTTATTTATGAATAATAACAAAACAAAACAAAACAAAAACAAACAAACAAACAAACAAACAAACAAAGAGAGACAATGCTACCTTCTGGGTGCAGGCTTTTTCTGACACATGGCAAAACATTTGCCTATACAAAGATATATTGTTTTTTTTTTTTGGCATTTCTGCTGCATCCACAGGTGCTGCATTTTCTGGTAGTGGATTTGAAAGGATAAGCCTCACCTTAAGAAACATGAACACACACATGACTTTCTAATGCATGAACTATCAAAGCCCTGATTTCATACATAATTAGTAAAATTACATGACCTTGTTTTGTTAAACTGGTTGCTTTGTGGCCAGAACAATGATAGTAATAGCCTTTTAATTTTTCTATTTTGAAAGGAAGAAAGGAAAGGAAAGGAAAGGAAGGAAGGAAAGGAAAGGAAGAAAGGAAGGAAAGAAAGGAAAGAAAGAAAGAAGCAGGAAGCAAGGAAAGGAAAAGAGAAAGAAAAGAAAGGAAAGAAGCGAAAAGGAAGCGACAACAGGCAGAAACGGCACGCCGCGACGCGACAAGATAAAGGACCCGCCCAAGAACGAAACCGAGACCGAGAACAAGAGAAGAACAGAAAGAAAAGAACGAAAGAAAAGAAAGCAAGACAAGAACAGAAAAGAAAAAAGAAAAAAAGAAAGAAAAAAGACAGAAAAGAAAGCAGGAGATACATTTCTTGCTTCTTTCAATTTTTCCTTCATTCTTTTATAAATCCCTGCAGGCAGCCATAAATGATAGATGACTTTGCGCCATTTGTTTTACTCATAATCAATATGAAGTTGTCTGGAAAAATCATGCATACACCTGGGGGACATATTCAGTTATGAGAGCAGAATATAATATTATTCAAAGTGATGGCAGGCAGCGGGGCTAGAAATGAGGACATAAAGAAGGGCAAAGACTGCTCCACAAAAAATCTGGATTATTTTTTGCCTTAAAAAAAAAGGGGGGAGGGGGACAGTAAATCTGAAACAGAGAGGCCCACGTGGCAGAATGAAACAACACTTTAAATTAGCTCTGATCTTAAGACTCATCCCAACCCTCTTGACCAAGATTGGCAACATGATAACCTTACTTTAAAGTAAAGTTATCAGCTTCTTTAAAGCATTTTTCTGAAGCACAGAGAACTGGGTGGGTACAAACCTTTTGAGCAGCTGACTTACATGAGTTAAAATAGCTTAAATTCGAAAGATCAAAGGAACGAGGTAGGCTGGTCTATCTTAAAATTAGCATTAATAACAGCTCCAATAACAGCCCTTCACTTCATCATCTGGTTTCATCAGAGTCAAGACACTGCCAAATGAGCCAGTGGTCAACAAATGCAGAAGTGAAAAGAAATTTGGCCAGCAGATCCCATTAGCCCAAGCTCTGGAGTCAACCCAGAGTTTGTAGTTTAAAATTCACAGCTACTACGCAAAGCACATTTTAACATTTTCTTACAGAGGAATGTAAAACTCCATCTTTTTCCTCACCTGGATAGCAAGTAAAACGTTACTTATTGCTAACTTTACTTTGCATTTCTCAGGGTTGTCAGGGAGGTCTATATGTGGCCTCCCACTGTAGTGATCCACTGCATGAAGAGGAAACATCCAGATGCTGTATAACTTTAAGGTACACCGACTTTGTTGCTAGACACTAAAGAAACTAGAGATCATTGCTGTTTGCCCTATATATATTGTATTTTTAAATGTCTATTGGGACTATTTATATGGTTTCCCAATATGCCCATTTTTTTCTACCCAGAGAAATCTGTTTTGGTAAAAACTCTTAATATTTCTATCTTTAACCAAGGCTTTTGGAAATTTAATGTCCGGGTTAGAACAATAGCTCAGCAGTTCCAACCAGCCTGCTGTATTTCAGCCCTATTTTGATGGCAAAAGCACTGAAAGAGCAGAATGCAGCAAGACCTACCTGCTGTAGATGTCCCTCCTTCTTGTCTTGGGGATAAGCACAGCAACACTGCCAAGGTGATCTATCAGTTATCTTCCTCTTTCTCTCTGATTTTCCAGGAATTCACATATTCCTCTGAGCTCTAGTTAACAGCATGCCCATATGGGCATTGCCATAGCAATCTGATTGTTAACTTCACCTCTACAAGAAGGGCTGAATCTGCTCCCTTTTGCCCCTTTCTGGCCATATAGTGCCATCATCCACCTCATACTGGGAATGCTTTCTTCCCTGCACGATCACACATGCATTTCCTCCTTCTTACACAGTTTTCTGCCAGCTTGGTGAGCTAAACTGGCTCATCAGGAGTTTGGACAAGCACAAGAGCTTGCAAAAGTGAAGCGGTAGGTCTGACCTTTCCTCCATGGCAAAGAGCTGTTAGGTTGACACCATCCACCTCATACAGCAACAGCCTAAATGCTTTGAATTGCTACAGGATTGAACCAAGAACTGAATGCTGACCTCAGCTGGGCTCCTGCCACCCTCTGCAAGTCACTTCAACCAGCATTATTTTGAGGTGCTGAACGAACAGGCACGAAGCAGCCAGCAGTGAATAAACACACGTTTGCAGTCAGCAAGATGAACACTGACATGCAAACCAGACTCCTACCATATTTCTGCAAGCTGCTGCAATAGCAGAATACAGGAGAAACAGTGTGTGACCCTTCTTTATGCACCAGCAAGGAGGAATACAGCATGTACAGTGTGTTTGAGTGCTGCACCATGCACAGCAGCAGCTTTTGTATGATACAAACGAATAATAGCGTTAAGTCTTGATCCAGCTCTGCAAGTGGTCTGCATATTTTCAGGACTGAGTCTAGCTACTAGATAAGAAAATAAATACATAAATTATATTGCAAAGGAATTGCCTACAAAGCGATGTTTGAAAGGAACATTATTTATATTGCAAGGCTGAGCACTCAGAAATTAGGAAACGCCAGATTTATGGCTTCTTGTGCAATCTTCATGGTTAGGCTACTTAGAAAGGCCAGCTTCCTTAGAATTTGAGATTTTTTTTTAGCATAAACTAACTTGTACCTATATACAAAAGCAATTTTAACCTTTCTATCCAATCCATTTGAAGCCAACTGTCTTTGGAAAAAAAACAGTCTTTTTTTGAAGATAAGGCTTATGTGAACCTAGTTTGGAATAACTATTCCATTTCTGGCCCTGTTTCCTGCTATACCATAATGTTGTGTCCAGACCATCTGCTTATTTGTGTCTTTTCTAATGTGCCTAAGCTATTTTGCCTGGATCTGACCTCTTCGAAATGCTAGCACACAAGACACTTCATGCTGCATTATGGCTGGGACTCACGGTGGTTTTAGAGGCTCAGAATCCCACCCACCCTCAGCACGTCAGCGTGGTCACGGGGGTTTTGCTGTTCCCACTGGGACCTGCTGCCCTCCGAGCAGCCTGAACTCCTAACATGAGCTGCTGGAGCTATCAGGCTCTGCAAGCACAGTGCCAAGGGAGAAGAGGCAATGACCTGCCAGAAGAAGAAGAGCACCCATTTCTCAGCTAGAAGTGCTCACATTGCTCCTGCTCACCAGGGAACTCTGTACAAACCCTTAAAAACATGATCCTCCACAGCTGCAGCTGTATCTGCCTGGGGTCCTTACTGTTCTGAATTGTCGTCTTCTTCCAGAAGTCAGCGTCACTGTGTGAAGTCATGTTTAAATCCTAATTGTTCAGTTTCCTCCTTCTTTTTGTCCAGCAATATCCTTTTCTAACTAGCACAGATATTCTTGAAGACAGCCATGGCCATTCTACAAATACCTGCCCTGATCTATGGGAAAACATTTTCACAGTAAACAGCAGTCAGGCTGGCACTGCTCAGCAGTTGTCCTCCCAAGGACTGCAAGCTTTTGGGACAATCAGGACTACCTCACCTACCAGCAGCACCTCCGACACAAAAACCTGGAGCTCAGCTTGGGCTGCTCAGCAGAGCTTTTACCAGATCCTGCAGACAGGCTCCGTAGCCCACCTGTGGTGAGGCTCGTCCTGGCAGATGCAGCTGGTACCTGGGTTATGCCTACGCTGCAGTAAAGCTAAAGCAATGACTCCAGTGTGGACAAACCCCAATTCCAAATAAGAACGCTTGCAACCTAAATAATGTGAAATAATCTACTATTAGAGAAGGGCTTTTGTGCACAAATTCCCTAGGAACTTTTGAAAAAGATATTGCCATAAGTGAAAATAAAAACCTCCTCAGGTCTCTGGCACGGTAGACAAGCAGCTGAGCTGCAAGGAATAGCTGCTACCAGCAAAAGGGAGGAGAAATCTGCTATTTTATTGATACCAGTGTCAGGAGAGGGACGTGTCTGTCTGCTCCTCCCTTTCCCTCTCCATTATCCGTAGAGCTCCAGTCCCACATGGTCTCACTGTGAACTGCAGAAAGTGACTGTTAAGCCAAAACACATGGAATCAGCAAGCTCTGGAGTTGGACTTTGTTAGACAGATGAAGTGGATCCATCCCATAGGGCGGCCTGAACATGCTAAGAAATATGCTCTGTGTTAAGTAAGTTTCACTAAAAACTAGTGTTTTAGTGATAACTAATAATAACACAACTGATTATTATTGCACTCTTCAATCTGCATGTAGAGATTTTTTTTTTCCCAGAGAAATCTTGTGAAAGGATCAAAAATGATTAAACAATAGAAATAAACTGGCAAGTTGCATATGATGTCGCAAACGCTTTGTCTTTAAGAACATGAGAGACCTTCCCAGAGAAACTCCTTGAATCCTTGGATTTCTGCTAACTTTTCCAGGAAGTGTTCACTTAAAGGTCTGGCAACAATGCCTGAAACAAGGAAAAAGAGGGTAAATCTCACCTGAACTGCCTTTAAGTACATATTGCCTTTCTTTTTCTTTTCCTTTTTTTTTTTTTTAATTTTCTCTCTTTTTTTTTTTTTTTCCTTTTTCTTTCTTTTCCCTCTCTCTCTCTCTCTTTTTTTTTTTTTTTTTTTTTTTTTTTTTTTTTTTTTTTTTTTTAAAGAAGCATCTCTAATGCACTGAAGTTCTTTGGTGCCTAAAAATATTAGGGACAAGAAAATATGGTATTAAATGTAACTACAACAGAACAGCAAATACATTTTCTATGGTGACCCCTGAGCCAAGCTAAACCCCTGCTTCGTGATGTGAAACTACCCAGAACCACTGCGATTTTTGCACAAGGGAATGAACTGTGATTTGGACTCTGCTCAGATTCTTATCACATTTCCTGTAGTTTACAGTGAAATTTGAGAATAAGCAAGACCTACTGGAGCGGAGTCGTGTACAGCGAAATCTGTTTAAACAACATTGGTTCAGCATAATGATTTTGAGTAATACCAATGAAAAACAAAGACAGCAGTCTTTAAAGAAAACACGCTGTGACTTCCACAGACAGAGATTTTGCTTCATTTGCTGGAAACCTGGGTGTGAGAAGCTGAATGCAACCAAAACAGGGGAAACCCAGAGCTCGGCTGGAAAATATTTCACTCAGTCAGTTCTGGAGAGCTCGGGAAGGGGCTCGGGAGTGGGGTGTAGGACGCAGCTGTCTCTCCATACCATCTCCCTGCTCTTCTCTCCAGGTTTTGGCCAAGCCCAAGCCCAGCCCTGGTGGGACTGGGTGTGGAGAAGTCCCATGTAATGTCCGTGACCCATCAAGAGGTGAATCAACCGGTGTCTCCACAGCAGGGCCTCCTGAGGTGGCCTCGCTGAGGTAACTTGCTTCAGGGCGCCATGTTGTGCTGCCAGGGGGACCGGTTGGTAATGGCCGCCCTGTTTCCTTGTCACCACACCCAGCAGGGTCCCTGTCTCCCAGACGGGTCATTCCTGCTCCCATCCCCTGTTGTGGAGGCACCTCAACCTTCATCTCCTGTCCCCCCTTGTCTGCCACGCTGGGGCAGTTGTGGCCCTGCAGCTCTCCACAGCCATCTCTAGCTCATCTTCTCCACATGCCCGTCTCCCTCACTGACTCCTCGCACTCAGCTCCTACCTCAGCTCTCACCACCTCAATCTGTCCTCCCTGTCCTCTCCATCCTACCTGCCCTCAGGTGCCCATTTCTTTGCCCAGACTTTGCCCAGTTTTCCCCATGTGATGCCATAGCAGAGGGACTCTCGCTCTTCTGCAGTTCCTTATGCTCACACACACCATTATCAGAGCCTGATGAAGGTATATATGAATTTACATCTTCATCAATAAGGCAAATTAAGCACGCTGCAGACTGCACGGGCTCTCCAGGCCCAGGCATGCCCAAAAGCAGATACTCAAACAGAGCTTAGGGCTTGCTGCATGAAGGGCACATTACGGCTGCTGTTAGGAAGCCATAGAATGAGCACTTGTCCTTTTCTGTCTATTTTACCCTTAAAATAGGAAGATTTCTACATGTGTGAAAGCAGGTGATCTCACGTCAGAGGATCTTTTTTCCAAACATGGGCTATTCTGCTCATGGTCCCCAGCACTCTGGCAGCCTGGCTCCTCGTTTGGCTGATTCATCCCACAGCTGCACCAAGAGCCAGCATCCAGACCCGAGGAACCTGGCATCACTCCTGCTGTAGGGACACATAAATTAGAGATTGCACCATAAAGGCAGCATTTTCTGCCTTCTTCAGCTCTGGATCTACCCAAGTACACACGCCTGTGTTTACACTGAGGGTGGCTGGAAATAAATGTTATCCCGGTTCCTGTTAGTTACTGTTTCAAAATGTCGTTGGATTTTTTTATTTTTTATTTTTAAACTATGGAAATAAGTACCAAAAACATTTGAGTGTGTATGGATACGTGTACCCACGTACACAAACAAACACATGCACATTGTACTCCACGCACCAGCTGTGGCTTAAAAATGTATGTGCTTCTTATGAATCTAATAGATATTTCTGTTTTGTTTTAAATTCCTTCACCGACTGGAAAAAAATAACCCAATTTCTTCATACTGGCTGCAGGTTGCAGCATTGGAGAACATTCCTCTGTACCTCAAGGTCAAAGCTCATTAACCGGCAGCTGTGATTTCCCTCTTCAGGATCAGATAAACCACGCGTTTTAGGGTACAAATCAGAAAATTAGGGCAGTACCAGGTTGCCAGTCTGAATAGTTAAGACATTCCAAAATGTGTTGCACTGTTAAATGGAAAATAAAGGACACCACAGATGCTTCTAATAATTCCAGTTTCAAGTCAGTTTTCCCTCCTTTGTCTTGAAGAGCTTTTGATGTGTAGTCACAATATTGTCTCTCTCTCTCTGTTTTTAATAATTTTATATTACCTCAGCAATATAACTGTCCTGAAATATACTGAACTTTAATCTTTGAGAGATCAAACAGGAAGAAATATGATGGGATAGAGAGTGACTGACTTGGGGGCAATATTCTCTCCTCCTATAAAAGAAAGCCCACAGCAAGATAAAAATTGCT